AAGGAGAATTATACTGAGATGAATTAGACGGAAAGGTAGTTTGTGTCCCTTGCCAAGAGGACACATATGGCAGAAAGATAGCCGTTTATTAGATTAAAGTAGCAGCTTGTGATGATTAACCACATGTCGAACAAGTCTTAGAGAAGGATGTCCCAATCGCTGGTGCCATTTGTCAATGGACGTATGCTCTCCAATGAAAGCCACATGAGGTTGTTTGGATTGCTCACCCACAAGACTACCATCTAACACATACAGTCCATCCTTACTCGGGCCCTGAAGAAGTACCTTCTTTGTCACACGATCCTTCACAAGAAAACCATGAGGATGAAATTCAAAGAAACAGTTATTATCCTCAGTAAATTTACGTACAGAGAGCAGATTTTTCACAATGTGGGGAACATGAAGCACATCTTTCAAGATAAGAGAATCAGAGGATGTAGAAATAGAAGAAATGCCAACATGTTTAATGGGCAAACCTGCACCGTTGCCTATCTTGATTTGATCGGAACCCAAATAATCAGAGTGAAGGGATAGAGCAGACAAATCAGGGGTCATATGATGACTTGCGCCAGAGTCAGGAAACCAACTACTATCAATATGAGGTCCCATGGATGCAGCATAGGCGGATGGAGTTGAGATGTCAGGTTTGAAATTCTTGTCAAACCATGCTCTGCACTTGTAGGCCATATGATTCATCTTGTGGCAGATCTGACACTTGACACCATAATAGGGATTGGGCTTACGGGCCTTGTTATCACCCCTGTTGTTTGGGCATGGAAGTATCTTTCTTATGTGATGAAGAAGAGTACCTTGGTTAGAGGCATAGTGGGCTTGAGGCTGGTAAGAGTCAAACAGGGCCCTGGAGTGCGCAAGATGTATTTCATGGTTCAGGAGCAGTGCTTGAACCTCTTCAAACGTAAATGGCTCAGAACGAACCAGTAATGTGGTGACAAGGGCTTCAAAGTCTGGACCAAGCCCTCCAAGAAATGCTTGAACCAGTTGAATTTCTGAAATGGGTTCACCGATTGAGGCAAGACTATCTACAATGAGTCTTTGCTTTCTAAAGGTAATTGTCAACAGATTGGTTGGTCTTTTTCAGATGAGACAACTCAAAATGGAGCTGCATAATGCGAGCATGAGATTTAGAGGCAAATAAAGAACATAGGGCAATCCAGATTCCTTTTGAAGATGAGTGCCCAATAAACTGGGCAAGTACACTCTCGATAAGTGAAGAATGTATCCATCTGAGGAGTAACTGATCTTGCTGCTCCCAAAGTAAGAAGTCAGGGTTAACATTGCCAACTCTTTGGTCGTCATTAGAGGAGAAGAGTGGGGGGCGTTGCACAGAACCATCAACATATCCCATGGCTTTAAAGCCTTTTAGTATTGGGATCAATTGAGAACGCCACACAATGTAATTTGTACAATCAAATTTAACTGGGAAGAGATGACTTACTGTAGGAGGTAAGTTCAGATTGACAATGGTGGAGATGGACCGGCCATTGGTGTTGAGGGTGGGAGTGTTCGCAGATGTTGAAGACATGGTGGACGTGAGTCCGATACTGCTCTGATACCAAGATATAACACAAGGGGAGTCTGAGAAAAGGCTCTAGCTCAATGATGATGAGCATTGAGCTACTGGTATTTATAGAGCAGTAAGCTATATACACTTGGCAGCCTTTGATTGGTTTGTGCGGTTACAGATAGAACAGAGATGATGATAAGTTACAGTTACAGATAGAACAAAGATGATGATAAGTTACAGTTACAAATAGAGTTTACTGAATTTTATCTTGAGGAGTGAGATAAAGAGTTTATCTCGATGAGTCAAGATTTATCGTGACTGAAGAGCCTTGTGAGTTGTAGTTGTTATCCTTAACACCCTGCATAACGACTCAACAGTTCAATGTCAAGTTAGTAAACTTAAAAAACACTAAAATTTGACGTCGTCTTGTACAAAAATCAAATCAGTAACAGGAGAGGGGAGTACTTGTTTGACGTTGTGCAACTGAAACTCCGATCGGAGAAGTGTCTTCAAAAGTGTCAGGTTGAAAAGAAAACCACCTAGGGTGTCATGCTTGGAGACCGGATCTTGGTATCTAATGCACTCGTCCTACATCATTCGAGCAAGCTCTTCATCATCAAAGATACGCAGGAAATCCTCCTTAACGAAATCCAGTAGTGGATTCCCTTCAATCGTTGAATTTGGTGGGAGGCTTGGTTCTGTTGAGCTTAGTCTAACAGCCCACTTGACTTTTGGCTCAGTTTCAGCGTTTGTTACCTTTGGTTTCCCAGAATGCTTGGATGGTGAATGAGAAATCCAGGTAGGTTTCTGGTTCAGGGTGGTTATTC